GCATGCAGCTTTGGTCATCACAAGAGACAAAAACATTTAAAAAAATTAATTTATCCCAAACTTTAGAACTTTTATACTTTTGAACAGTATAGTGTATATATAGTTTTACATTAATTGGTTTATATGAGCAAACATGTTGAGTCAGAGAGTTGCATATTTTTTATTTCTCATGAAGCACCTTGACTTGGCCAAATCTCCTGAGGAGCCTGTAGGGCCAATGGTAGATGGCCTGTCCGGTCTTAAGGTCCAGCAGACAAATAGCCTCTTTCTCAGAAGACAGCAGGTATGACCCAGACATCCTGCACCTTTGAGATGCATCTGTGCTCTGCACTGTCACCTGGTACTGGCCTGCGGGGTGGAATTCATAAAAACATCAAAACGAAGTCTCTCTGGACAAACCCTCAATCGCTGAGATCAGACCTCTTGAATTTAAAATGAAGACAGAACAAAAGATATTTTACAGCGGTGGCCAAAAATTATGAAGCAGTGAAACTGATTACATGAATGGTTGGTCTAGAAACAATCTTGACTCTTGAATATTAGAATATTAAAAATGTAAATAAATGAATAAGGCTGTATACCAAATTTTCCCCAAAACATCTTCACATTTCTTGCATCATTATATACAAAAGGTTGAAAAGACGTTATTTTTTTCATCTGGCTAAACTACTTTTTACTACTTGCATAGTATACTACTTACTAAATAAATAAGCACAGTACATAGGCATGAAATATTGATCTGAACTGAGAAATTATTTATTTTCTTATTTATAGACTAACTAAAAAGTCTATTAACAATCAGCCTAGTAAATTGATCACGTCAACAATTATAAAGTACTTATTATGTTTAATCTGCAGTCCAAGTTTGGTTTTAGTTACATATTTACCACATACATATTAATATTTATATATGTATGAATTCTGAAGTCCTTCAACTCCTTCAAGTCTATATAGATTTTTTTTTCAGTTTATTACAAATAAAACTACTAACAACTGTTTAGGTACAGTGATGTAACTGTACTAAATGTACCAAGGGTCCTTAGTTCCTAAAACCTTGAATACTTTTATGCACACACACATTTATTGCCTCACAGCAGTACATCTGTGTGGCTCAAAAACACATTTCAGATAAGAACAAAATTATGTTTTCACACCGTGACCGGAATGATTTTAAATGGGAATTTCCCAAGTTACTTTGTGTTCCAAAGCATTACCGTTATCTGTGTTACAAATCAGCTTGATAATGAACGGTTTCTCTAAAACTCAACCTCTAATCATTTACTAAAAAAAGTAACTTAGCAAAAAAGCATCTGTTATTTAACACTACTGGGTGAGCATTGTAATACTAAGAATATTAAAAACTAAGTATGCGCTACCTAATATTTTTCTATGAGGAAGAAGATAAACCCTCAAACTACTTTCTTCTAAATAAGATTAAAATACAGAAGCTGAAAAGGCAAACCGTAAAATATGATGCAACACCAAAGATGTCTGTCTGTATGTAAAAAAAAGACAAACTTAAACTGAACACAAACTTGAATCTAAACACTATAAATTGAATCAATATGAAACAGTTATCTAAATTGAGAAACTAGCCTATTTATTTTCTTAATTGTAGACTGACTAAAAGCTTTCACTATATATATTGATATATGCCATTTTTTGTGAAGAATTTAATTAAATTGTTTTAATCGATTGACAGTCGACTGATTGTCAAATAATATGTTTCAGAGTGACCATTTTGTGCTCTTATTCTTTTAGATCTATGTAGATAAAGGACCAAAAACATGTCTGACTTCAATAAAAACACTGAGTAATGGTGGAAATGTACATCTGCACCATTAAGACACACCGTCTTGCTCAACTGCAACAAACTGTTTGGTAACACCTAGTTTAGCAGCAGATAATCGTTACTGTAGTTCTGGATCAGCTATGCTGGTAGACAAGTGTATTTCAGAGCCCATTCTCACCTGCTCCCCAGGTGGAGTAGAGTTCATTGACAGCCGGTGTCGTGTATTTATCTTTCTTGGTATCTTCGGTTCTTTGTGTCTTCTAAAAATGTAAGACAGTTGATAATAAGCATACATTAGTAATTCCTCTTTTTTATCATATCATTCTTTGCAAAAAAAAAAAAAAAACTTATAACAATGGCAAACAATCATCTACCATCAGGGGCTAACAAGAAATTCTAACCGGCCAAATCTTAACCAGGACTTTTTCTCCAAAACAAAGCATTTCTAGTGACCCTCGTTGTTATCATATCATTCTTTGCAAAAAAAAAAAAAAAAGTCTATGAACACTCTTGTGCAATCATAGACTCGAAGGTGTGGTTATCAACACTTCCTTTGTGACAGGTTAGCAGTTGTGTGAAGCTGTACCTCAAGTTCATCATAAATATGTTGACTTTAGTTACTTTAGTAGCGGGAAAATGTCCTTCATTATGACTTGTTTTATGTTATGAGAAAGATGCAACTCATATTATTCAATAAACTTGTTTCACCAAACCTTTGTCTTTTGCTTTCTGCTCTTCCTTGGCAGATTGAATATGAGACAACATGTAGTGTTAACTAGTTTATGGTATCAGACAAATTGCTGTTGACTGGTTTTGGATATCAGAATGGATTAAAATGGACTGATGGGAGTCTGGATCCAACATCTTGGCAGAATTTAACAGGGACAATGTTTTCTTTTTTTCCATCTTCCATGTTCCTGAATCAACATTCTTGTTCTTACCTGGCTTATTTTATTATTTTTTTTTGTTAATTTCATTTTGACTTTGACACATGTAGCTCATATGGTAGAAGAAAGTCCTAGCAATGCCAAGGTCATGGCTCTGATTCCCAAGGAATGCATGAATTGATTAAATGTCTTCCTTGAATGCAATGTAAGCTGATTCAAATAAAAGTCTGCCAAATATGGGTTTGTCCATATCCATAATCCACCTTTGGATTGCTTAGTTGGGGTTTAAAATAGACTTAATAATCAGTAATATTAATGATTTGATTGCACTTACACTACAGGGTGAGAACAAAACTCAAAACTGAATAAATCTGAATGATGACACTATTGTCTTCTGTAGAGCTGCTTTATAGCTTAATCAAACTGAATTAAAGAAATTTGCAACACTGATACCGAATTGAATCAACATTGAACTGATTCGATCTGAATAAGGACACTGCTGTCTTCTGTAGAGCTGCTTATAGTTGAATTAAACTTGTTGAATTTTACACTTATAGATCTGAACCAACACTGAACTGATTCGAGCTGAATAATGACACTATTGTCTTTGTAAAGCTGCTTAGCAGCAGAATTTGAATTTGTCTCATATTTGATGAAGTTTGCATCGATTCTGTTATTTCCCTGTTTATCACTGTGAAGCTGTATTGTATAAAGTGCACTGTAGATAAAGACTTGACTTGTTTTGACAGGACATCACCCAACCTCCATACCTGAAATGCTAGCTGGCACAGAACAGTTATCCAGTCCTCCTGGGCGGGAGCAGCGATGGTGTAGGTGCATGAGGTGGTGTTTAAAAAGAAGGCAGAGCACTCTGTGGGACAGCTTTCTCCTGGGGCTGGAGTGATGCTCAGACAGTCTGTCAGGCGGATCACCCGTTTGTCCGTCTTCCTGAGCCCTGAAGGCCTCGCAATGGCGGACCCTATCAGTCCCCCTCTATCACGCATGTCATACAGCTCCATCCGGCCGATACCTGCAGGGCTGGGCTCGAACAGAATCAGCCAGGATTTCCGCCATATCTTCTGCAGGAACAAGGAGAGATGTTAGTTATAATTGAGGCTACGACAGAGTAAAGAAAATGAATTATTTCGGCGCATAACTCGGAAGGGTTTAACATCAAACTCTCTGGTTCAGTACTCCTCCATTGGGACCGGTTAGATATTTGGGAGAACATGCCAGAGGGAGCAGAAGTTCTGAAACGGTTCTTCGTTTTATCTCCCATACATGATTCATGGCCGTTAAACGCTACCATGAAGATGGAAGCACCCCAGGTGGTTAACCAGCTGCCGTTTCCCTTCTATATTAATAATGTACAGTTGAAGATTTCTGACCACCTATAATTCCCAAGGCTTGTTGTAAATAATTAAAGAGATGTTTTAATGCTGTTATAACTGTGATTATCAATGGTATATGTCCCACCTTTTGCCTACCTAAATATCATTACTTCATCCTTAATAAATTGTAAACATTACAGGGATAGTTCATATGAAAATTCTGTCAGCCTCATGTCGTTCTAAACCTGTATGACTTTTTTCTTCTGCGGAACACAAATGTTACTTTGAAGAACGCTGGTAGCCAAACAACACTGGAGCTCATTGGCTTCCATTGCATGGGCCAAAAAAAAAAAAAAACATATCTTAAAATATCTTTATCTTAAATATTTTTATCTTATCTTAAAAAAAGTCATGCAGGTTTTGAACGACATGAAGGGAAGAGAAATGTAAGAATTTGCCTCACTTGGTGAACTTTAATCTTTACATCTCAAATAAATTTTATTCTAATATCCTACAAATATATGGATGCATTTGTCTGACATTTTCATTAACTGACTTTTATTATTATTTAAGTTGATCGCATGACCTGATCTGGCTAATAAACTCAGCTAGTGAAGCAGGAAACAGTATAAAATATACTATTAATATAAGCAATATAAAAAGCATAAGAACTAGCACATCAAATAGTAGTACTAGTACTAGAATTAAATAATATAACAAATAAAAAATACACAAAAATGCACTCTTGAATTGTGTAAAATGTGTTTTTCAGTATTTCAGTTTTCAGTAAACAACCTCACCTTCCCAAACTTGACCCCCTGCAAAAAGAGCGGACCCTCTTTAGAGATTACATCCATTGTGCTTGTTTGCCTCGAAGTGCTCCAGTTCCTCTATTTTCTACAGAAGGTGACAAAAGAGAGAGAGAGAGACTGTGTATGATGCTAAACTTGATATTAAGCAAGCGCTTCCGTGAGATTAAGGGGCCACGTCATTCACCAGCAAGCGGCTAAAAATGGTCCCCCCTCATTTCCTCCAACGTTGAAAACTTTACCTTGACGTGTTCCTTTATTAACAATCACCCAAGCTTGGTTGTAAACAGGAAATAGCAGAGATGTAACAAGAGATACAATGTCAGAGAAGAATTTTATTGCAGTTTGCATCATAAAATAAAGAGGGCGCATAAGCGGACCATTTATTTACACTGGATGTGTAGCAAAAAAAAAAACAATTAACTGGCAAAAACATGCCTGAGTGGGTTTCAGACAAATACTGTAACAATTCAGCTGTTACATTAATACATGACAATGTCATTATGAAGCAAAACCTACTGAAAATTCTAGGAAATCCTAACTTTAACATTTTTTCTTACACAAAGCTTTTTGACTGCATTTTGCAACAAACAAGAAATAGTTTCACTGAAATTAATAAACAAATGTACAGTTCCAAGAATAATACATTTTGTACAAAATGACGCAAGACACGACACAGGAGCCTCTCTCAAGGAAAGATCTGATGGCAAAGTAGCAAACAGCATTAAAAATCCATGGAGCTGTTGGCCAGATAGTCCTTGCGGCCAATGTTGGTGACCTGTTTTGTCTGCATGGCCTCCAGTTTGGGACAGTCTGTGATCCTGTGGCCCAAACCACCACAAAACGTACAGCCTCTCTCTCCTAGGATGGAAAAATAAAAAGGTAAATATCTTATACTATACTATGTTGCAATAATTTTGGGCATGTGCTCAACTGGCTACTTAAGCTTGTTTCAACAATAAGTACATAATTTGTACCTCCAATATCCAGCATCGTCTCGTCTCCCGTTTGGAGAACCTGCAGCACAGGAGGAACCTTCTGCTTGGCTTCAACCAACAAAGCTTTCAGATCCATTAGTACAGACTCATCTATAAAAAAAGGATTTTGATGCTCAATTCTCAAATCTATACAGTATATTCTCTGAAAAAATAAACCATTGTGTGTGGTAATTTAATCTCGGAAGAAAGTACAATAAGATGACAAGAAATGAAAATGGAAAGACAAACACCAAAGATAAATCTATACATAAAAAAAAAAAAAAAAAACTTACCACATCCTTTGTTGATAAATGTTGTGGCAACTCCAGTCTTTCCAGATCGACCTGTTCTGCCTATTCTGTGGACTGTGAAATAAACATTACATACATTTCAAACATCTGGCATCTGCAGTTATATATATGCAGGAGTTTTTCTTAGAACTAACTTCACTTTTCGGAACCATTTTTGCAATGACACTTAACAAGTTGGTTTAGTGGTTGTATAAACTTCTGTCAAATGTTTTCCCTAAAAGAAGTGCTTGTACGATCATTGCTCAAAATAAACGCCAATTTCTTTTTAAAAGTTCGATACTTTTTGAACTGTCCAGCAGTTATTTCTATCTAATTAATTACATGATGTGCCAATTACTTCATCTAATTTAATTAATAATTAATCATAAATCACATCAATTTGATTTGAGAAATTAGTGTTAAATCCACAGCCCTAACTGTGAATTCTATTGTAATATAATTTAAAATGTAATTTATTCCTGTGATGGCAAATCTGAATTTTCAGCATCATTACTCCAGTCTTCAGTGTCTCATGATCCTTCAGAAATCATTGTAATTTGCTGCTCAAGTAACATTTCCTCCCATAAATGCTGAAAACAGTTGTGTTCCTTAATATTTTTGATGAATAGAAGGCTCAGAACAACAGCATTTATTTGAAACAGAACTCTTTTGTAGCATTATAAAGGCACTTTTTTGTGTCCTGCTGAATGAAAGTAAATAAATACATAAATCTTACTGACCTCAAACATTTGAACGGTAGTGTATACAAACCAATAAGCTTTAACAATAAACCAATAATGCCAAAAAACAATCATCTGAAAACTTTACCATAGTTCTCAATCTCCTCTGGCATGTCATAATTCACAACATGCTGGATGGCAGGAAAATCCAAACCCTTCGAAGCAACATCAGTAGCCACTAAAACATCTTTCTTTTCCTCTTTGAACGCCTCAATGGCTTTCGTTCTCTCCTCCTGGTCTGAAAAGCACATATACAGTTTATTAAGGAGCGTGTCGTTGAACTGTATGTCCTGTTTACCTTTGTGCTAAACAATCACATTCATAACTATTATATATTTAAGGTAACACAAACAGCAGTTGTTAGTGCATGATCACGGTCAAGTGAAGCCATATACACTTTTGCTGCTTTGAGATTAAGCAAGATCGAATCTTCTGACATAGTTTGAACACTTGTTTAACACCCTCATCACACAGTGCTATAATAGGAGCCAGACCACAGCAGAAGCTGACACCCGGTGGAGAGCACATGAAGCTGCGGGAAACGGCACGCATAAAGCTGATTGATGGTGTCTGTGCTACAAGCAGATTGAGATGGATGATGTCATACCTTTTCCTCCGTGAATAGCCACCGCCTCAACACCTTTCAGCAGAAGATACTCGTGTATGGCATCTACATCTGCTTTCTTCTCAGCAAATATTAATACCTAAAAAACAATATAGGAAGTATGATTGTTAGAAGAGATTATGTAGGGATCTCAGATGTGGTTTAAGAAGAGCAAGAAGCTACGTACTGGCGGCGGGGTCTTCTGGAGACACTCCAGGAGATAAACCATTTTGGCCTCCTCTTTGACATATTCCACTTCCTAAAAGTGACAGGATGTGTGTGTGTATATATATATATATATATAAAGTAAAACGTTCTGTTCTGAATTACTAATATACACTAGAACTGCTCGATTCTGGATAAATTGAGAATCGCGATTTTTTTTGTTTTTGTTTCAAACAGAGACCGCAATTCTCCCATGATTTTGAACTAAGCAAAATAACATGCAATTTACTAGAGGCTGTGACAAAATATTAATTGCCTCATTCTATTCAAAAATGTTTCATTAATTTGAATGAATTATTTTTGGTTCGAATTAACGATTTAATGACAAACTCATAAATACTTCATTTGTTCCATTACTGAATGAATCGGCGTTTTTGAACGAATCTCTTGAATGAATGATTCAATGACAAATAATTTTTTAACAGTCACTTGTCGTCACCTAGTGGCGAAACATTGTAATCAACAAACGTTATTTGAAGTGAAAATTCGTATCAAAAGATGATTTGCTCCATTTTTATCTGAATTATAAAATGTTATCCCAGTACTTCTGTGATAATATGAATGATTGTAAGACACAAATTATACTGTGTGGCTGAAACGACTGTTTGTGAAGCTGTTTCATACCTAAACATGATAACTGGTCTCTATGTGTCAGCGGCAGCACGAAAACACATATTTGAATGTTCCAATATGACTTTGTCAAAGGTTTAATAGACACAGACAAATCATTGTCATATAAAAATAAGATTGCGTGGGTGTTTGAATCGAGATCGCGATCTTTTTAATCGATTAATCGTGCAGCTCTAGTATATACACTTGTTCAAAAGTTTGGGGTTGGTTAAGATTATTTGTGTTTTTGAAAGAGTCTCTCATGCTCAACAAGGCTGCATTTATTTGATCACAAACACAGTCAAAACTGTAATACTGTGAAATATTATTACTATTTAAAATAAACGTTTTCTATTTTGTTATATTTTAAAATGTAATTGATTTTACTCCAGTCATCAGTGTCACATGATCCAGAAACATTCTAATATGCTGGTTTGGTGCTCAAAAACATTTCTTATTATTATCAATGTTGAAAACAGTTGTGCTGCTTAATATTTTTGTGGAAAAACCGGGATGAATTTTTTCAGGATTTTTATTTAATAGAAAGTTGAAAAGAACAGCACGTGTTTGAAATATAAATCTTTTGTAACATAATAAATGTCTTTACCACGGCATTTGATTTGAATTCGAATTAATGCATCTTTGCTGAATAAAATGTATTTCCTCAAAAAAAAAATCTTACTGACCCCAAACTTTTAAAACAGTAGTGTGTTTCACAACACTCAAAAAAAAAAAAAAAAAAATCGACCTTGGCAAAGCTCACAAACCAACTAAAAGGATCGAAAGGAACATGAGGAAAGAATAAAGCTGGGCCTCGCATGAATCTTAATGTCTTACCTGGATGACGTCCAAACTTGCAGCTCCAGCTCTGCCCACATTAATGGTGATGGGTTTTACTAAAGCACTTTTGGCAAAGTTCTGGATCTTCTTGGGCATAGTGGCACTGAAAAGCAACGTTTGTCTCTGACCCTAAAGCAAATCATAATAATGAGCAAAAAAAGCACTCTGGTTATTAAAAAAAACAAACATTCATTACCTCTAAAACAGTATTATTCTAGTTCTAAAACCACTACATATTCAAGAAAACACTGAAAAAGGGAGGGGAACATTTTACTATATTTACTGACTAACTGCTATATTATTGGATAACCTAAACAGTACCAGGAGAATGAGATTTGCACAAAAGTACCTTAAAGTAAGAGAAGATGGTCCTGATGTCCTCCTCAAAACCCATGTCAATCATCCTATCAGCCTCGTCCAGAGCCAGATAGCGGCAGATATCCAGACTCACCATCTTCTTGTTCAGCAGGTCCATCAGTCTGCCTGGAGTGGCCACCATCATGTGCACCCCGCTACAATCACACAATCATTCGCAAGTTTATAAGGGATTTCTAAAGCAACCAGCATCCAAATAGCCAGTATGATGTCCCAATCTTTTTGACCATTTCCTTTTTAAACGTCATGAGGTGTACATTTAAACTCTTTAAACAATGTGACTCACTTTTTTACCACCTCCATCTGTTCTTTGACAGACATGCCCCCAATACACAGAGCACAGCGCAACTGCGGAGCCCCTTCATCCTCTAGGAGTTTACAGTAGTGTTCAATGATACTATGTGTCTGTCTCGCCAGCTCCCTCTACAGATGGAGAGAAAGACACGCAATAAATAAATGACAATACTGTTGCTGTCTGGTGCCTGTACTGTCTGCCTCTTAACTTATGATTTGTATGATGAAATATTTTTGTTACATATAGGTAATCGGCTTCTCATTTTTCAGGCAGATGACACAGGATGTGCCAGAGACAGAGTGGGCTTACAGAAGGACAGATGATGAGGCCGTAGGGTCCCTCTCTCTTACAGAAGGGTAGCCGTTTCTCCTGCTCCAGACAAAACATAATGATGGGCAGCGTGAAAACCAGGGTTTTCCCTGAGCCGGTAAAGGCAATGCCAATCATGTCCCTGCCAGAGAGACTAAAACAAACAAACTAATTTTAATAACTACAAATTTTATATATATATATATATACGTATGACCTCCTGATAGTGCATGATAATGGCTAAATATTGCCTCAAGCCCACATGCAACTCACACGGTTGGTATTCCCTGAATCTGAATGGGTGTCGGGCGAACGATTCCTTTTTTCTTCAGTCCTTTCAGGATGGCTGCAAAGACCATTAAAGTTGAGAGCGGGCCATTAGCGTGAAGCTGCGAGTGAGGTGCTGCATGTAAAAATAGGTAAGATGAATCTTACCCTGAGGAAACTTCATCTCTCTGAAGCTCTTAATGGGTGGTGGAATGCCTTCACCTTCAACAAGAATATGGTACTTCTTCCGTACACGTTCGTGCCGCGCTGCCGGCATGCCAAGAATGTAACGAGGCACATTCCAGCTGAAGAGAAAATCGGAAGTTAATTGCTGTTGTCATTATTTGCAAAAAAAAAGATCTGACAAATGAATGGAGAGTTAAAGGCAGCTCACCTTGTTTTTATTGGGTCTTCATAAGTGATACCTTTGGCCATTTCCTTCACAGACATTAGAGCTGATAAAGATATTAAAAGATGCATTTTTATGATGATAAATACTTCTAACCAATAAATGAATTAATCTGGTAAATCATTCTGTTTTCGCTTACCTCTGCCTTCAGCCACACTCTCCAGAATCTTTTCTTCCTCTTTCAACTGTTTCTCCTTGGCAGACTCCTTTCGAGCTGCAATTATTAATATAAGATTTGAGAATAAATAACAAATGAACAAAAAAACCCATATTGAAACTACTTAAGAATTATCTTTGTATTTACAAAACAAAACAACAAAAAACTATTAGTAGAATTTTTCTTATTTGATTAGTAGCTTAGAATCTTTAATACTTTAATCACGTACATCAAAAAATACTTTGTTGTTGATTTCTAAAAAATACTAGATCTTTATGTACTTCTATGTTTGAATTTCATTTTGACTCCTTGATTTTCACACAAAGGTTGGACAAACTAAAACATTTTAATAATGTGATAAACATTTCTAAAGAGAACTCACTAAAAATACTAAATTTACAAATATTAAAAACTGAATATCCCAACAGAAAGATTGAAATGACTCCGAGACAATCATTACTGTCCAAATTCTATTTGTCGAGTGGTTCTCAATCAAGTGGACTTAAAGGCAGGGTATGTGATTTTTCAAAAACACTTTAGAAAACTGATTCGGGCCGAATAGCAAAACAAACTTGTAGCCAATCAGCAATAAGGGGCGTGTCTTTTTGGTGATTTCAAATATCAACATTGGCTACCAGAAATCGCTTACTCTGCCTTTAACAAACGTACAAGGTGGCTGCAACATGACTTAATTACTTATTAAATTATTAATTAAATGCTAAAAAAAATCAATCAAGATGTGAATTGAAATCATATGTCTTTCTCCCCGCAAAAACGATTTTTTGTTGTTGTTTAAGTTTATTGAAACTTCTAGAATCATAAAATGAATTGTGGTTGCTTAATTTTCCTATATTGACACTCTGATTGAGACCCACTGCATTAGACCGTAAATAAGAAATGAAGCACAGGGGAGGGTGTAAAGACCTTCAGCTTTCTCTTGTTTTGGTGATTTCAAATATCAACATTGGCTACCAGAAATCGCTTACTCTGCCTTTAACAAACGTACAAGGTGGCTGCAACATGACTTAATTACTTATTAAAATTATTAATTAAATGCTAAAAAAAATCAATCAAGATGTGAATTGAAATCATATCTTTCTCCCCGCAAAAACGATTTTTTGTTGTTGTTTAAGTTTATTGAAACTTCTAGAATCATAAAATGAATTGTGGTTGCTTAATTTTCCTATATTGACACTCTGATTGAGACCCACTGCATTAGACCGTAAATAAGAAATGAAGCACAGGGGAGGGTGTAAAGACCTTCAGCTTTCTCCTTGAGGTGTTGGTGCTGGTCCAGCAGACTGACATTGGATCGGGGACCCAGACCCTCATCCTCATCTTTTTGCTCTCCACCACTATCTTTCTGTTCCTCCACTGCGAGCCCTTTCCCACGAAAACGCTTCACCTTCTGGAGCTTAGAGTCACATCAAATAAACACAGGCAATTAGGATGCTGGGACATATAACAGCAAAAGCATGAAATATCGCTGTTGCTTACCATCTGCTGTTTTCTGATCTTAACAGGAACATACGGCACATAGTCATCATCTTCTGAGCCTTCTGATCCAGACTTCTCTGAATAGTTTCTCTAACAATTACATAAAAGCCACAAAGTGTTACATATAATACAAACTGCAAACATGTCATACAGCATCACATGAAGTTATACAGCAGTTCAGAACCACATATTCTCTTCTTACAGTTTTATATTAATTACACTAAGTCAATTTATTTTCGCCACATTTTAATTCGCTATATAAAACGCTAAAACGTCATTATACATCAGATAACCTGTCGAGATATAATTAATCGCACGTTTTATACAGTGAATGGGGTTAAATCTGTTGCTCGAATCTATTTAACGTTACTTATCAAGGTGCGTTTATTATACATATTAGTAAAACTCACCTTTTTGGATCGGTTTTCCGTTTCCATGATGCTCGATGTTACAAGCTTTAAAGTCCGCGTGAACCGGAAGTTGCGATATTTAGTACAATAATATCAGATAAATGTTACATTACACCCAAACAAGCATTGTTTATACACTAGCTACCATGTTACGGTGCTAATGATCAACGGAAGCGTGACGTACAGCTTACGTACACTACGGTGGCCCAAAAGGGACTAACCAATGTATTTCGGAAAAAAACCCGTTCACCTAAAAATGGACATTTTTCACCATAATGTTGTTGCAAACCTGTATGACTTTCTGTGAGATAAACTAGGAGATGCAAGAAAGAATGTGCTCAATAGTATCAATGTGCCTCAGTCACTATTCATTTGCATTGAGAGAAAAAAAAGAAATGAAAGTGAATAGTGAATCATTCTCAAAGAAATTGTAACATCTCAAGTCACACGGTTTTACGAGGGTAAGTATTCACTCACGAAGGTAAGTAAATAATGACAGGTTAAAAAAATAATAATTATTTAACCGCAAAAACGAAATCTTGTTCTAATTTCTCATTCCCATTTATGTGGTTTCTTATATTACCACATTTGCATGGTACCAAAATATAAATTTAGAAAGCAAACACAACACGTTTCTTTTCTCAAAACTGTCACGTTTTAATCTTTCTGCATGAAAGATTTTCACAGTATCAAAAGTGAATAATAATAATAAAAAACAACAAAATAAAACAGAAAGCCAACATACACTTGGCCATTAATGGTATAGTATAAATCTACATTCCAAATGTTTAAGATAATGTCTTCTAGTTTAATATCACCTGGATAGAGTCAAAGATGTCGGAAAAATATGAAAACAAAAACTCAAAACAGATTTCTCAAAGAGATCTCAATCCTTCAAAGGAGATTTAGTTTATCATAAACCCAGAGACCCTAATTAATAATAATAAAAAAAAAGAAGTCATATCTGTATTTGGGATTTTTACCAGAAGGGGCTCAGCTTCAGGGATAAATGAGTAAAAAACAGTATGACGCAGACATACAAAGCTATGGAAAGGGCCACCAGATGTTACAAGCGCCGTACCACTGAAGGGAATCTTAAAGCCCCTTTAAATCATAAAATGCCATTGCAAATGTAACAAATTAAAACAGGTCTGAACTTGTTACGCACCAGTGGACTGAAACTATACCAGCAGAACTGCTGCAAGTGTCTGGGATGTATAAATTCAGGTCTGATATCATCATGCAGCCAAAACAAGGGTGCACTGCTGCAGAACCAACTACAAACTGAAACTCACAACAGCATTGAGACCGTGGTCACAGCACAGAACTATATCCAAACCACCACATGGGAGGATCAGCAGGGACACTACCATAAGATTTCGGTCAGGAAATTTTGCCAACAGTCAGTTTGGAACAGCATTCCATACAGAGTTGAAGGACAAGGGAGAGATCTGTAGTTGCCTATACTTGTCAGTTTTTACGCATCATGCAAAGGAAACAGCTCATTTGCTCAACCTTAGATTTCATGTATAAAAGTGACACAGTCGACAGATACAGGTCTTTAAAATCAGTTTCTTTTTAGTGTTGATTCCTTTTTTCTTTTCTCGAAAATGTCCGAAGTAATAAGACAAAACAGTTTCACACATCATACATTGTAAGCATAGGTACGGATGTTCTCATTGTTCTAAAAGACAACAAAGTCCATGTGCACGGTTCATTTTTGTGCATATAAACTGTCACAGCTGCACTTGGCCTCACAAATTCGACTGTGAAATGACACGGGTGTAGTATAATCTATCCAGATCTTTGTATCTCACATGGACAGTTCTACAAACTAAAACACATCAGTGAACACAACCGTCTTTGCTGCCTTTTTACCTCCATTATGACAGTCAGACATGATACAGCAATTCGAATTTTGTATTATCAAAAAAAAAACACATTTTTCGTATCTATTCTAAGACTACAGTATATTTGCAGGGTGAGTGGCGTCTGCAAAAATGCATGATGGTGCAACCGTAGAAGTACCTTTTAAAACACACGAACAGCTGAAAAAAGCGTGACGGGCCAAACCGCACCATTGTTGTGAATTTAAAACATTTTTATTGTAAAACAACTGTGTACATACGACATATAAAGCATGTAGATGCACTGGATCAGTACCCGAATGTGTTTTAGCGATAACAGGATGCAAGTTCTCGGACTGAGTTCAGGATGCATTGTGATCCCCCGTGAACAATAGGTCAAATGAAAACGTGTTTGATGACTGGTGGTCAAATCAAGGTCCCGTGGCATAGAGGCAGAAAGGGCTGTGAGAGGGAGAAACCTTAGGCCCATCAGGTGTTAAGTACAGTAACCAAAGGCCAAACTGGTTTTTAGTACAGTCTTGCTGGGAGGGGAGGGGAGGGGGTCTGTTTACCATCACCCATCTGTTACTGAGCTGCATTTGAGGGCATCTTTTTGAGGCTGAAGTTGGACCAGTTCACAGCCACCTTCTGTCGGGTTTGTTTAGCAGAGTCAAGGCAAAACCTAAAAAAATTGAGAGATTAAAAAAAAAAAAGGTTAAGCAACGAATTAGATTTTTTACATTTCTACGACATTCTTGTTCCAAGAATGACCTGTAATGTGATAAAAGGACAATTAATATCTCTTCCATGTAAATCTAAGATATTCTTCTAGCGATGAGCGCCAGGAGGTTGTATCTTCTGTATCTTCATCACTTGGTTTCTATATCTGCACTTGGTAAGCCCCACTGACAGTAGCTGCGCTTCCATTACCCTTCAAATTGCGCAAATCGAAATTGCGAATTGAAAATACACCCAATGGAAACAAATCAAATTCGCAAGCATCTGTTACTGAGCTGCATTTGAGGGCATCTTTTTGAGGCTGAAGTTGGACCAGTTCACAGCCACCTTCTGTCGGGTTTGTTTAGCAGAGTCAAGGCAAAACCTAAAAAAATTGAGAGATTAAAAAAAAAAAGGTTAAGCAACGAATTAGATTTTTTACATTTCTACGACATTCTTGTTCCAAGAATGACCTGTAATGTGACAAAAGGACAATTAATATCTCTTCCATGTAAATCTAAGATATTCTTCTAGCGATGAGCGCCAGGAGGTTGTATCTTCTGTATCTTCATCACTTGGTTTCTATATCTGCACTTGGTAAGCCCCACTGACAGTAGCTGCGCTTCCATTACCCTTCAAATTGCGCAAATCGAAATTGCGAATTGAAAATACACCCAATGGAAACAAATCAAATTCGCAAGAAGTCCCATATATTGCAAAAAAGTTTTTACACTCTCATGAGGTGGTTTTTCAGGCAATTCGAAAAAGGAATATTTAGCCTAACTGCAATAGAAACCGTTTTTTCGCATTTACAGGTCTCCTGGTGTACGTAAAAGTCACATGATCATTCTTTAATGTACTATAACCTCCAAGAAACACCTCATACATGGCCTCTCTCAAGTATAAGGGGCCTACCAACATCCGTCGCCGTGTCTTATCAGGAGAAGAAAAAAAGTTACATTTTAGTCACATAACACTGATTAATGGAAATGCCGTCATTTTGCAATAGTTTTTTTTAATCGACATTTATAAAATATTGCAAAAGTTTTGCGCAAATCTGTAATGGTATCGCAGCTAGTGAAATCTCACTAGAACAAAATCGTATACTTATTAAAATAATACTGATATTTATTAAAAAAGTAACTCTATTGTAACAATAATAATAATTATGATAGTAATGTTTGTCAAATGCCACTAATTAACAGAGCGGTTTGTTTTGGACTTTACCTCTTGAAATATTCAACCTCACGATCAATCTCGTCCATTTTCGTAGGGTCGACGTCTTTGGGAAGGAACACATCATCTATCAGGGAGAAAGGGGGAAAAAAGGGATGAAGAGCTGTAAATTGGTCTGATGCAACAGACCTACAAGATCAGACCAACTTGATATTGCCCAAAGTTCACTTACCGATTGCGTTATTCGATTTTTCCGTCTTGTTTTTGTTCTTATTTTTAGTCTTTCCCTTCGGTTGCTGTGCTTGCTGCTGTGAACTGGAAGTGTTGGAGTTGGTTTTAGTGTCTACGTCATGCTCCGACCTGTTTCCCCGTGCCTCCAAGAGGTCGTTCTTCCCCCTCTGCGTGTTAGACCCTGTATTATGGTGACCGTTTGAGGCTCCATTGGATGACTGCTTGCAAGCTTTGACCTCTTCTGCTCTCTTATTTCCTGTTTTCTGTGAGTCTGCCTGCTGCTGAGTCTGGTGGTTCTGTTTGGATCCACCTTTGGTGCTTTTATCTGAATCAGCTGCCCTGGTTTCCTGCGCTTTGTGCGTCTCAGTTTTTGCCGTTTTTATACTGGTCACCTGCTCCTGAGTCGCCTGCTCCTGGTGCCTCTGATTCTGCTGTTTCTTACCCTTTTTTGTCTTGGATCCGGCTCCAGTTGTGGGCTTGGTTTCAAGGGCCGCATCGTTGGGCTTGGCCGCAGATGCGGTGCCAGGCTGGATGGACTCTGAACCCGTGGCTGGGCTTCGTTCTTGTGACTGCACACGGATGAGCTTGGAAAGACTTGGCGTGGAGTGGAGCCTCTGGATGTCTTTGGCTGCAGTGGTGGTGTCCTCCCAACCGTTTACTATATCCAGGTCTCTCTTGAAGTTCCTCAGTGAGAGAGGCGCCAGATCCAAGTCTATCTGCTGCAAATCAGAAGATCCATTGAGGTGAGACAGCAGATGGTTTCCTTCCAGTGTCGCTGCCTTTTTCGGGAAGTCGTTGACGTCCAGGTTGAGGTCGTACATGCTGAAGGAGGCACGGATGGAGTCTTTTATGGTGTTTTTGATCTCCTCCAGACGGCTGGTCAGGAAACTGTTAACTCGCTCCAGCTCCAGCTGAGGCCATTCCAACAGTCTGTTCGCTTCCCCGTCCGGAGTTGAATCTTCTACGGGGTCGGGGGGAGATGCCGAGCGGGGTTCGCTGCTGGCTGCCTCAACACTGCCCTGAAGAGCCCTCTCCTTCTCCTGATCAAGATTGTTGAGAAATCAGTCACAATCATATTTTTTTTGAAAGTTGGAAGAGTAAATGCAGCATTTGCATAAAGAACGCAAAAGGCAAGTTGGCTTCAAAATAAACTATTTCTGGAAATCAAAGGCAGCAGAGGTTCAAAAAGCTAAAATATCGAAACAGAAGCCTGGTAGAAAT